ATGATACTGGAGGTAAGGTCGTATGTTGCACTGCCGTTGCAAGTGCATTTGACTAATTTTACTTGACTTAAGATTTAAACCATCAGATTGATTAGAAAACACATTTACTTACCAAATAGTTGAATGGGGGTTTGGCCCATTTGAATACTTTGTTTGATCCCATTGTTCAACTTTCAGTGACCTCAGTAGTAGTAGAACCAGCAAGGTGGAGGCCTTCGTCGTTTGAATGAAAAGTGAAGAGTGGGGGACCTGGTATCACTCTAATGGTCCCACAATAGAGTCAATAAGTATTCTACTAGGCCCTGCAGCTCATACAGTTTTGAGATAGGAGGCTAAATCCACAGAGAGGGATTGAATGGCTTATATACACGTCCGATTAGGGTCTGAATGTTCAAAAACGTTTGCAAAAATCATTTTACGTTCTATAATTGGCTGCTGCACATGTACATTCTCTGTTTTTTCTTTCCCCTTATATGTCTTACCCATAGAACGCCCATTACCCCGGTCCCTTAATACACAAACTTTTGTTCTTTTGACCGAAACCTTATTACTTTTTGTAATGAATATGCTTTATTATTAATACTGTAAAATGTGGCGAAACGTAAACGGAAACCTTTCTAATTTTAATAATAAATACATTTAATTACTAAAAACATTGAATAATGCTTTTAACCACATTTCAAAACATCCGATGATCTCAGTGTTATTCGCACCTGTTATAGCAAGGTGCAGGCTTCCATAGTTCGAACAGAAGGTGGAAAAACCGAGGTTTATGGGTAATACGCGTTAATGAAAAGGAATTTGACTGCGGAAAAAGCTGCTCATAGTAGATGCGGAAAAATAAAGGTTACGCAAACCAGCTTACACCACACAGCGGTAACGAATCCGTGATTAAAGGCTGAATTTTTATACTTAATAACACCCAGAAATCAAATAATGGTTGTTCAAGGCCCGGATCCTCCGACCCTGGGGTCCAGCTGGGCTGACACTTTGCAATAAGCGAAGAGGTGTTATTCCAGTCCCTTTGTCCTTGAGACGGCTATTGGTTTGTCAGTTGTGCATTAGTGCAAAAGCTATTGGAGGAGTCCCTGCTTGCACATGTCATCTCGTGGCGACCAACCAGAACAGAGTGGTTAATCTTTATTCAAACTTTAACAGGGTGAATTCGAGTGTCGGATGAAAATGGTGTTAGTGGGCTGCACTGACAGTCAAAGTGCAGAACTGTTGTTCCCTGCTAAGTATCAGTTTATTGAGAGATATGTAGCTAAATTACCGTTGAGTTCCTTATTTGTAAATGCATGTCGTCGTAGCAGAAAAATGGTATCTCAGATTGTTGGCGAGGCCAAATGTCCTGAGTAGACACCGACTTCACTCTACCGGATCAGCAGCTATGAGTATATAATCGTCGTGTGCAGTTTCCCTCTAAAGCCTTTCAATGCCTCTTTAAATATGCAATCGTAATCTAAAGGCCATTCAACGCCAGACTCGAACGT